CAAATTATGTTGTCTCATTCTTATTTTTCTTGGGGGAAAAAATACCTAAAGGAAAACACAGTTCTGATATAGGAGAAGAATATTTTTCATTAAAAATGACACATCAGGAGGTACAGCCCTACTGGTATTCTGAGGATTCCTTGCCACATTAAGTATAACTTTCTTGCTCTTCCTTCTCATCTGTATTTCTTATTTTTAGAGTCTTTATTTTTTGCAGCCCAGGCTAGCCTGGAAGTTGAGATGCTTCCAGTTTTACCTCCTGAGTGTTGAAATTGCAGCCATGCACTACCATGTCTGATAGCAACACACATTTTTAAATCTGAAAATGGACAAATCCAAAAAGTTCCTGTATCAAGTGGGACACCTGATACACAGTTAACATGAATAAACTAAAAGGATTCTCTTTGACCTTAGTAACAAACTGTATAGTCATTTTAACATCTGAAAGTAAATTTCTTTCCCTTCAGTCTTTAGAATTCAGGGATTGCAACTACATTTTGATACCTCAGAGTATTATAAATATCACATTTCCTTTATTCAGAGAGCTTCTACTTCAGAGGGAGTAGCTATTAGTATCTTCACATGATAGATACAGTCCTAATATTATTATTATTATTATTATTATTATTGGGTCCATTGTGGGGCTTGAACTCTGGGCCTGGGTGCTGTCCCTCAGCTCTTCAGCTCAAGGCTAGCACTCAACCACTTGGGCCACAGCACCACTTCCGGCTTTTTTCTTTTTGCTTCTGTGGTGCTGAGGAATCGAACCCAGGGCCTCAGGCACGCAAGGCAAGCACTCTACCACTGAGCCACCTTCCCAGCCCTAATATTAAAATTTAGTTATTTTAGTAAAGTCTTTAGCGATTTTGTTTCTAACTCCTCAGTTTCCTAAATTATAATACTAAAGTTTCCAAATGAGGATCTGTAAGGGCAAGGTGGGGGGGAATGAAAAATAGATATTTAACAATATCTTAGAAATCTTAATCATGTTCTCCTCAGCCCAGAAAACAATTTCTTCATATATTTTTATAGCTGATTTTTTTACAGCGTGATATATATATATATATATATGTTGTAAAATATAGTCATATACGTATAACCAGCAGTAAAAAATATATAGGCACCTATGTGTATGCACATACTTAACCAGCTGTAATACACGTTCATAGATACACACGTGACTAGATACACATATTCACACATATTAAAGGATGCCGTAAGAATGGCAGTCGGAAAAATCATCCGTATGTTTGATTGTTAATATGCAGGCAAAATCGAATACCAGGTTCCTGGGTCCTCGTGTAGTCTTGTGAGGGTTTATCTGCCAAGTTGTCAGACTCGTTATTTTGAGGGACTCCTCATTTTCCTAGCAAGCTTTGCAGAGCCATGAACACTGTATTTTGGGGGGTGAGGGAGGGGGGGCTTTGGAGGTCAACCAGGCAGCCTCAATTCTCTCCAATTCTATCTGGGCACAATGCACTGGAGAGTCAGGCAGTGGGGTTGTTTTTTTAAGCCTTCCAACCTCAGGTAAGAGCAGTGACAGGTCCTAGGCTGGCTGGAGGCCTGAGCCCCTGACCTTGGCCCCCCCCACCCCCCCCCAAGCTGCTGGGCCCGCACTCTCCCGCCACCCGGTGCCCAGGACAGCTCGGGGTGGGGGCGGGTGGAGAGGGGTTGGGGTCAGCACCCAGGATCCGAGGTCAGCACCTCGTGAACACAGGCTTCGGCTCTTCCTCGGGGCCTGGGGCGCTAGGCCACGACTTGAAACGTGTCACCTAAGGAAAGGCGCGAAGGGAGACCCGAGCTCCGCCGTCACCCCGGCGGGGCCCGCCCCGGGTTCCAGTGTGCACCCAGGTCCTTTCAGTGAGGCCTGAGCGGAGGGGAGCTGAACAAGGACTATTCTCTCCCCCCCCCACCCCCACCCCGTTTACCCAATCTCAAGATGGCGACCGACCCTGGTCGGTCTCCGCCAAGCCGCAAGCCCTGTCCCCTTCCCACCCGTCCCCGCGCCGGCGGCGACGGCGAGCAGGAGGCGGGCCGAGCGGGGCGGAAGGGGGCGTGTCTGACGACGTCACCCTGGGCGCGCGCGTCTTGGCCCCGCCCCGCGTCCTCGCGTCGCGGCCTGGATGGAGCCTGAGCCCGGGCGGCTGGCCGGCGCGCGCGCTGCCTGCTGGGATACTCGGCCCGCCCAGCCAGTCTTCCCGTCTTTGCGCGCTGGCGGTCGCGAGATCCGTGGTTTCTCCCAAGATGGTGGCGCGGGGTTCGGGGTGACTACAGGAGACGAGCAGGGGCCCTTTCGCCTTCGCTGAGGAGCTCGACGCGCCATCCTTGGCCCGCACGCGCCCCTCGTC